GTTCCGTATTTGTACCTCCAAGTGGCATCTTTTATTATAATTGAGATAAAACAATTAATGCGCCGCATTCCATTTCACAATGATGCTCTAGTTTTGTCTTGTGTACCGCTTCTTTCACAAACCTAGGAGGTGGTCTGGTGTTGATTTAAGACCAGGTAAGGACAAGGGGTCTTCCCACTGTTAAAAAGACCATTTTCTTAAAAAGTTCAATAAATGCAAGATGTTTCCATTAATCAACGATTAATCGTGTTAAATAATCATGATTTCAATATTGACCAAAATAATTACGATCATCATTTTTGCCATAATTGAGCAGCCCTACTAAACATGCAAGCATAATTTTCCGCTGGTACCTAGTTTCACCTTTAAGACAGACAACAGTGCTGTGATCTTTACCTAGGTTTGTTGAAATTGAAATTGTGACTTTCCTGAGAGGTCGGGGTACATCAGAGGAAACAATCAATTAGATTGAAGAGCAAAAGGTACTGCTATGAGTACTAGATTAACTGGTTAATTAGGCTAGTTAGTTTCCTCGTTTCCTTGTGCAACCCTGAAAGGGATCTTCAGAATTAAATTTTCTTGGCCATAATTAGTCACCAAGATATTTGATAGAATGCAGGTTAAATCTTCTCAGAATAATTTATGCATGTCTTCTCATCCTCCTTTTTTCATTTTCAGTGTATACCTTCTTTAATAGCTCTTATCATGTAGGTGTTGTCATGAAGGCTATTTGTATTGTCTATATATTTTTTTTATTATTTTTTTTTTACAGCTTTGCTGCTGATATGTTTTATTATTGACTGGACATCACTGCTTGTTTATCTTTTGTATTATTTGTTACTTTAGGCAAAACCATCTACCATATATGTAGCACAAAAGTGATAGTGGTAATAACTGGCCTACTTAGTTTATACAGTGGTGTTTCTTTTTCGACTTTTTCTTCAGTCATTTTGTTTTTACTTTCACATTGATAAGCAGGGTTCCCATGGTCAGGAAATTCCTGGCAAAGTAATGAAATTAGAAAAATAATTGTCCAGGCCTGGAAATGATTTGGATTTAACAGAATGTTTAGGAGACATTTTTAATACACACTGTTTTTGGCTATTGTTCCTCCCCCCACTCCTCTCCTACTCTTCTCCTCTCCTCATCCTCTCCTTCTCCTCCTCCTTTTTATTTTCCTCTTACATTTTAAGTTAACAGACATGTGTCTTCCCTATTTACAGATTGACAGACAGGTCATCCTGCTAATGGAAGATGCTCAACTGGCAAATTATCTTCCATCATATGGAGACAGGATTGCTTTGTTCAACTTTTGCAAGCGTCAAACAAACTCATCGAAGCGAAAGCAGGGACTTTTTGAAAAGATAAGGGAGAAGCTCAAGGAAAACCACACAGGGGAGGAGGAGCCAGAAACCTCCAACAAAACCAAAAAAGCTAGAGCAAAAACATCCACAAGAAATATTGAAATAGGATGGGTTCACACTGACGGCAAAATAACAAAACAGGTCAGAGCAAAGCAAGGTGGGGGAACAAGAAAGATCTCAGTTAACATTCAGGCAGGATTTGAAGAGATACTAAAAGGAAAGGACTGTAAGGAAAGTCACCATTCTTTCCAGATGGAGAATCAGGCAAAGGTCACAAATCTGATTTTGAATTTGATGTGTGGGATTTCAAGCAAAATCCTTTTCCCAAGGATGTCTCCATCGAAATGATATACAGCACTGTTAAACTCCCACTTCTGCGCTTCTACATATCAACTCAACCAATATCTGTGCTAAGTGAAGAGTCTGATGATGACGACCATGGCTGTGCTGATTGTGTCTCTGAGCCAGATGATGAACAATCAGTGGACAGAAATTATCGGCAGGATTCGACAGATGAGCCCCATGACTCCCTGCCAGAGGTGTTCATTGTTTCTGAAGAAGTCCTCACAGATTCTTCAGTAACCAGAGAAAACCCTGCAAGCTCAAGTCAAGAAACAAGAACACTTGTCATCAGTGATCCCATGGCTTTTTTTGTGGGCAGGAACTATGCTATTTTTGAGGATGACCCTGACCCTGAGATCATTTTTGGTGCACAGCAAACAGTGAATGTGACACAGTGACACACTGATCTATCAACCTGATGAGTTACCTCAAAGTCCTCTTAATATTTTGCCTGAAACAATTTTGCTCTTGCACCACTCAAACAGCTTCAGTGAAATGAAAGAGGCATTTTCTGACCCTGAGATCTTGAACAAAACACTGAAAGTCAGACGTCTACTTCCTGACAACTCAGTAGAGAAGGGTAGCGGGTCTGGTGTAATCAGAGATGTCTACAGTAGCTTCTGGGCAGAGTTTTATGAACGTTGTACCCTTGGAACAACTTTGAAAGCGCCCTTTCTCAGGCATGATTTCTGTGCTGCTACATGGAAAGCAATCGGGAGAATTCTTCTGAAAGGATTTCAAGATTGCCAGTACTTGCCAATCAAACTTGCCCCTCCTTTTCTTGAGGAAATGCTTTATGGGGCAGTGCACAGTGATCTGAAGACAAGCTTTCTTCAGTTTGTGAGCTCACAAGAACAAGATGTCCTCAAGCATGCATTGAATGATTTTAGCTCTGTTGATGATGATGACCTTGAAGTGCTTGACAGATATGAATGTAGGAAGAGGGTCACTGCTGCTACTCTTCCAGAAATCTTGGATGAAATATCTCACAAGGAACTTGTGCAGAAACCAATGTTTGTCATCGACTGCTGGAGGGAGATCACACAGCCACAGATTCATCTCAACTCTGGGGAACTGACCAAAATGTACAGTGACCTCAAACCCACCCCAAAGAAAGTAGCAGGAATATTAAACTTTCCTACAGGGATGGCATCTAAGCAGGCAGAGGTGGCACAGTACCTGAAAAGATATGTCAGGGAACTTAATGAGGTAAAGCTTGGGAGATTTTTGAGGTTCTGCACTGGCTCTGATTTGTTGGTATCTGGTGTTATTAAGGATGAGTTTACAGTTCAGACCAGTTTCACAAGAAGGCGAATTGGACATACATGTGGGATGCTCTTAGAACTGTTATGGTCATTTCCCTGACTTCTGCAGCGAGTTCAATTCCATTCTAGAGGCAACGTCTGGATAATGGACATTGTGTAGTCAGATATTATGATATCAAGGGTTGCAGTCTGAATGCTTTCACTTTTAAATAGAGTGAAACAGTTATTCTCACAAACACATGCATTCATTAAAGGGATTGCCATGTTCTTCATATAAACACACACATTAAGCCACACACATGCTTGTTTAATACAAAAGGTTGTTCTACGACGCTCACTGTTCACTATCTCGATTATAGTGAAACTGAGTGAATGTTCAAGCTATAATGCATACATTTTACAGATGAATGAATGTCTGTTACATTCAAGCCCTTGCCAAACGAGTTCACATAATGCCTATCACCACCAGGTACATCTCTCTGTATTTCACAGTATACAGTGTGGTTCTTTCTTCGAAATAGACACAGTCGTTTGCACAATCGTTTTAAAGTCCTGATACTGATAATAATTCAGTGCTGATGTGCCAAAAGATTAAATATTTCCTTATTTGTGAAACCGATACCAAAGTATAACTTCACAAGATGCTCAACATTCCTCATTTTAACGCAGGGGGAAGACTGCTCTATCTTGTAAGAGTTCTCATAAATTTACTCCTTTACTCTCGCAATATTATGACTTTAAGCTCGTAATGTTAAGACTTTAATCTCGTAATGTCATGACTTTATTTTTGTAGACCTAATATTATGACTTTATTCTCGTAAAATTATGACTTTATTCTCGTAAATCCTGTCCATCACGTGTTCTTTCCAAAAATCCACTATTTTACTACATTCCCAAATACAAAGGATTACTCAATATCCGTTACACTTAGAACATGTGTCTGGTATATTGTTGTCAAAGTGGTGTAATTTTACTGGTGTCACATATATACGCATTAACCAATTATATTGCAATATAATATATTAATATCTTAACAAACCATGTTCCAATCCTCCAATGTTATTTCCTCATTCAAATCTTCCTCCTCCATGCTTCTACCTTTCCCTCTGAAGACACTTGGGAATCAGAAATTAAGAAATCATAGAAAGAAGAAATCCAGCCTTTACTGTAACAGTCCTTGGTGACCTGTTCCTCCAGTTAGGAGAGGACTGGAATGCCACAGTTTTGATTCTGATTTGCGTAAATAAAGCTGTGTAATTGCAGGTACTTGAATAACTGTTTTCTTGGAATGTCAAATTTTTCTCCTGAAATGACACAAGCTTCCCCTCTCTGTATATGTTGCCAATTTTCCTCAGTCCCCTCTCTGCCCATATGTGGAAGCCCCCATTTGCTCTCCCAGGTTTAAAGTCAGAATTGTATTAGCCCAGATTGGACTGAAATGTCTGAGAAATTTTTAAATATTTTTGAATGTCACACCGCAAATCATTTTCAGTACAATGGGATTATCCGTGCTTTACTCAGAGCTTTCACTTTGGATGACTACATGTCCTGTTACTTCATTAAAACATTCAGTCAAGAAAATCTCAGTAACCATTAAAGTGGGGAATGAGCCACTGTCTATGTACATGACCCACTGAAATGCATTTCTGCTTCTAAGGACCAGTCTGTTCTTCCACATCAGAACCAATGTTTGTTAGTCAATCCAAAACCATGTAGCAATTATCCCTCTAATTAAAGGTTAGGTTTGCAGTATTTGATGGAGCCTCCTTCTGCATCACTACACAAGACCTTGAACCAATGAAAACAAGGAAATGTGTATATGTATGAACATTACATTCTAATGAAGATCTAAACTAGTAAAATAAACTAGTTTAAGCATGTAGGTGACTACATTTTTGAGTTCCTCACACTAAAACTGGGTAAGTTTCCTCATCAGCTTCAAAGTCTGGCTCATTAACTTTGTAACTTGTGAACAAGAACACGGGTCAGTATTGCTGCAGATAGGACAGAATGGAGGCACACAAACAACTTTTTCTCAACGGCTTTAAGAGGAGACATACCAGGGAAGAGGTGTTTTTTGACAAGAAAAAATAAAAACCTCATCTTCTTATTACAATCTGTAAGAACAATGTGAAAGAGTTCATCAAACAATTTGTAAAACACCTTTCATCGAGCAGCGATTCACACAAAAAATAATGACTTTTCATCCATTAATTTCTGTTAAAAACCAACTGGGTAAAACAAATGAACACTCGTATGAAGATCTAAATTACATTAGATAGCTATGCTTTCAGATGAAAGAAACATCAACCTTTTAACAATCTTATGTGTGAAGGAGGTGATAATGACAACAGAAGCACAAACTCTCCAGTTTCAACTCCTCTTGAACGGATGAGGGAAAATGAATGAAAATAAACCACATATAATGACGACCCAGATGATCGTATTCATAGTTAGATTATAAAATAAGAAATTCTCTGTCAAAGCCTCCTTAAGAACAAATGGCAATTTAAGACATGAAACATCCATCTATCTGTATGATTACAATAAACAAGAAAGGAAAACAAACAAAAAACAGATGCATCTCTGTTTTTCCTTAACCACCTACACTCAACACCCCCCATATTATAAATAATTAAAATTGTCTAGAAGATTAAATAAGAGGTTTTCTGAGTGATAGTCATCTGAACCAGCCAGACAACATGTGCAAATAAAAACAAGATTAAATCTCCAATTCATACATCCTGGAAAAACCTCACATCTCAAACTAATTTTCAGGTTTTTGTGAGCTACACCATGAGATAAAGATAATATGTTTTTTATCTGAAACTGTTACAAATGCATAGGTAAGACAGTTGAATCTGTTCTCTTTGATAGATTTGTTTTCTTCCTGAACGTGAAGAACTTTGTGAGATATGTGGTTTTTCTAGAATATTTTTTATGGCATCTACTACTACAGCAAACGAAAGGAAAAATATTTTAACAGAACACCAAACATTGCAGTATGTTAAAATGACACAACAAGTATGGAGGCAGAGGTGGCTGAGTAGGCAAACAGTAAGATTAATTAGTAAAATGACAACAGTAACAACTATTATTTGCTTTAAAATGATTAGAAATAAGAGTTAAGCAAGGATGTGACAATAAAGGCCTGAGATGGCTTTCATGGACAAAGTTTAAGCCTTTTTACAAAACACATTAAACATATGCTTTACAAAAATGGCAAATGTTAAGTAGACAATTCTTGAAGAAGGCAAAAATCATTCTGAGTTGCAAAAAAATATTTGAAAACATGACAATCACACACTGACGCCCAGAGTCCCTAAGAACAGCAAACACACAGGCAGGCAGAGCTGGACTGACACAGTGCTTCAAAGCACCCCATCAACATCAAGGCCTGTGTTGATAAAGTACACTGAAGAATTATTGTTATAAACATTAATTGTACAATTCTCATTTATCTGTTTTTTTTTTTACATAAATATTCCAAACCGAGCCAGACCGGACAGAACAGTATTTTCTGTTCAAGTTCTGTTCTCTGTGCATAACTAATTCACTGTACCTGAAAACGTTTAGTATAGAAACACAACAATGCCTGTAGAAATATTGCAATATACTAAAACATCGTACCAGTCGTATGTGCAACATGTTAAACATTCTTCTGACAATATATACAGAGGTGCACTGTGTTGCTGTACATGTTGCATATGCTACACAAAGCTAAATCTAGCTCATTGAAACTCATGAACTGATAGTTTGAACTGTTAGTTTCCAAGGGAAGCCATGTCAGCTCATTGCAATGCATTGTTGGTAATTATACAGAAAAGGGCAGCAACAGGACACACCTGTCAAATGTGTGCAGGGGGGGAAAGTACACATAAAGTACAGCTGTGCAGCTGATGTACAGGTCTTAAGCATCTACTCATTGGAAATGTAATGCAAAACTTAAAATACTAAAAGGAGTTTTTAACTGGTTATGAGTCTCAATTGAATACTGATGCCTCTGTATCACCTGCATAAGCAAAAAAGACCATCAGCATGAAGGTTGTCTGTTTCTATATAGATATTTGTAATGCCTGCCACTGGGTCGGATTAGGTCGGATTCTCCTCAAAATCATACAGAAAAAGGCAGTGGAAACACTGTCTACATAGCCCGCCAGAATGAATATAAAATAAAAAAGTTCCTTGTAGCTGCTTTAAGATGACAGCTGTGATATACAATGAGATTGTATAATTTCCCCCATGGGACATATCTGATGCGCCTGTTGTCCATTAGCAGCTCAATATTGATAAATGCTAAAATAACCCTTTCAATCTTTTTTTTTTCTGACAATATATGAATGCCCCACAGATGACAGAAAGCAATGTTTTAAAACTAAACTCCTAACATTCATACAAAGGTTAATTAAGACATAATACTTTCATTCCAAGTATTACACCACAGAATAGTTTGTTCATTTTAAAATTTCACTTTGCAATTTTAAAAAAGTCAACAATAAAAGCAACACTAGTGGTTGCAGCAGTTTGTAAAATGCCCAATGGGGTACATCCCATTTGTGCAGTGTGTGTGTGGAGGTAGCATCTCTGTGCCCTCCAGTTAACAAACTATACACTTTATATATACTTTTTTACATCTCAGTGGGTTACAGCTGTTATGACTTTGTTCTGATTTTTAACTGAGGGAGTCGGGTCTCGGAGTCCATTGTGAGTCAATAAAAGTTTGTTTCCAGCCATTGTTGATTGAAAATTGAATATTAAGTATCACTGGCTGACAATGAATGTGTGTTCAACAGGACACTTGCAAGAATTTCTAAACCTTGCTTGAGAATGTATAACCTATTTAATGTGGGCAGGGTTGAGAGGGGTGTAAATCAGTTCTTCCTCTTCTGGTATGAAGTAAGTCCATTCTCCCGTTATCCTCTTTCTCTCTCTGCTCTGCTTTCCCTTTCAGACTAGGGTTGTAAAGGGACATCTGACCTAAAACTTAAGTATCATTGAACAATGGGGCTGCATTCAAAGAGCTTTAAAAATGCAGTAGAGCAGGTCTACACATGCCAGCCATATCTGATATAATCATTTAGCCAATTAGGCAGCACAATAGCCACTTGCTTCCACATATCAACAGGAACTGTAGCAGCTGCCTGGCACCATTACCTCAGAAAACATTGTCTCAGGAAGTAGCAGGCACTGCTGGAACCTACAGTGATAAACAGTAAGGCCAGTGGCTCCACAAGGTTGACAAACTGTTTGCTGCTATGACCCGGGGGTGAACCAATGCTGGATGTGGGATATCCCGCGCTGTATCTGGCCAATGTAGAAGTCTGCATTTCGGGAGAAGTCCTGACAGACAGAGGAGTGGGCATCGCCCAGAGCACAGTAAAGGGCGGTGCCACCCACACTGATCACTACGGTAACCAGACAAAGCAGGAAGAGAAGCAGGCAAGAGTCCCCACCGCCAACATCTACAGAGAAAGAGATACATGGTGTTGAGGGAAGTTACAGAACAGTAGATTAATAATATCGACTAGAGAAGTTGCTAGAATTCATCAACTGTTTTTGACACTGTTATTGCATTTGGTTTAAGTTAACTAGACTTAAAGTTAATAAACTAATTAGCTCACTTGCAGTGAGACAGTTCACTAGCTCCATGAGAGATGTGAGTTTCTGAACCGGAGGCAATAAACACAAAAACACACCTTGCTCATAGCCGTCATCAGGAACTCTGAAGCGGACACGTCTTTTAGCAGGGAGTTTGTTCGGCCGGGGCTCTGAGCTGCCAGATACACTCATGTTGTCCACACAAACACTCCGCTTCTTCAATATGGAGACCAGGCCAGAGGCTGGAGACATCTAAGAAGCGAATACAAAACAAAGAAATGTTAGGAAGCACAGACACATATATTAATATAATTACTATATTTTATTTACACCAAATACAGTTTGATCTGATTGCCATACACTGACAAAATTCTGTATGAAGAGGAACCTGTCTTACAAAGGGTGTTCCTCACCAGCCATGTCCACCAGGTGTCAGTACATCACACAGCAGTATTGAACTTTAAACCTCACTAACAATTTTACAGTGAGTCACGCAGTCCAGTCCAAAGCACTGCTTCCCTATGAGAGATGTGATCACGAACAATCATGCCAGACTCAATCCAAAGGTGTTTAAAATATGTATTACAAGTGCAAATCAACTTTGGTCAAGAGGTGGTAGATGATGTGATGGTGATATAGCAATCCGTCTGCTTATCATTACATCATGTAGTCATAACGTCAACATTCACCTGCTGCCTGACACTTGTGAGATCATTTTATTCCCTCTCAAACAATCTGTCCAAAATCAAGTTATCTGAAAGGGTGTGATTTGCAGTCAAACTGCTTACGAGGAGGAGCTGAATAACAAATGTGAAAGTAAACAAACACATGGACTCATCACAGATCCTTATTGGTGAATAAACCTAGTAGTAGGTTATAAACCTTTAAATGGGAAGCAGAATATAATAATGATAAACTTTCTAAAAATGTCTTTGTACTATGAGTCTAATTCTTTACAAATCTGTCTGGTACCAGCATATTTAAAAGAACACCTAATGAGGCTGTAATGAAATAAACAATACATACACTACAGGCCAAAAGTTTGGAAGCAAGATCAAATTTGTACAAAAAAAAGGATCATAGTTTCATTGGTATACTTTGCAACAAAATAAATTATATATTGTATAAAGAGTCACTTATCAGAATACATTTTTACTATAATTATCAGGTATTTGGGATTTTTCTTGCTTAGACTTTGCTTTCTTCAAAGTAACCTCCTCTGGCTTTAACAACAGCATATACAAGGCATTCGTTCCACAAGTTTTTTAAGGTATGTGCCAGGAATTGCATTCCAAGCTTTCTTAAGTTCATCAATAAGGAACTGCTGATTCGTAGGACACACTTTTCTGACTGATTGATCCAATTCGCCCCACACAAGCTCAATTGGAGAGAGGTCTGGAGACTGAGGGGGCCAAACCATCTTTCGAAGAACACCTTCCTCTTCTTTTTTGTCTAGGTAACCCTGACAGAGCTTGAAAGAATGCTTAGGGTCATTATCTTGCTGCAAAACAAACTTTGGACCCACAAGTCTTAGTCCAGATGGAACTACATGATGCTGGAGGATGGAGTGGTACTGTTCCTTCTTCATGATACCCTTTACTTCAAACAAATCTCCTACTCTATCACCTGCAAAACATCCCCATACCATGGCACCACCATCTCCATGCTTTATTGTGGGTGTTACTTTAAGACTTACTTTATGGTGCTTTAAGACGTTCAGGGTGTAGTGAACTCCTTTGTTGGACACCATTAGACGTTTTGCAATATCTCTTTCAGTGTATCCTTCTTTCCTCAATGTACAAATCTGTACTCTTGGTTCTTTACTGAGCTGTTTCTTTCTACCCATTTATGTGGTAGTTTGTCAGAGATATGAACACAGTTGAGATTTATTGGGATTTTTTGTATGCAAACTCTCAAAAGCCAAAGAGCTAAAGTGAATAATGCAAACTGATTTGTTTTTTAACTTTTGCACTGAAGTTGTGACTCTTGCAAATCTTCTCAACCCTAAAACTAAGCCCTTCTTTTCTTTTGTTAAAAATTTATTCAGCAATGGTCTGGTAACATCAATTTACACCTAAAGGTAAATTGAGGAAAATGGTGCATATCAGTGAAAGCAAAGTCTGATCATGCAGTAATTACATCCCAAAATCCAAAGAATTCATACTGGTTTTTAAGAAAGGCATTGTAAACAGAAACTTGAAGTTGCTTCCAAATTTTTGGCCTGTAGTTTATACAAAGTTAACAAGTTCATAGTGAGTTGTTGGAAAGACGATTTTTATGAAAGCGTTGCCGACTAATAATATATTCCTTATTTATTAAAAAAACAAGCTTACAGTAGGAAAATGTTCAGTTCTAGACCTTGATTAGACCCATCACAAGGCATCACATAAACATGGAACCAAAATTACCCACAACTTCCAAGTACTAGAGCAGCATACACAACACCTCCCTGGCTGCCCTACATCATGCAGTATCTGATAAAAGCAGGCCACTCTTCTGGTTACCATTGTACGTCAGTTCTTTCTGCGTCTGCTCCATCCAACTCTCTGCAGCTACCTCTCTTTCACTCCCTATTCTTCTCTTTCACAGAGATGTATCTATAAAAATAAGTCAGTAACCAGCACTTGAGCTTAAAGCCAAGTAATGACACAATTAATGCTGAAAAAATCTAATACAGAAGCTTTTTTCTCAACACACCAGACACAACTATGAAACCAAATTCAGGAATCCATTTATTCTGAAATAATTATATCTGAATAATAATAATACAGTAATCCTGCTAGCTGACAACTCAATGACATTTTTAGTTCTCCCTTCACCTTTCACCTCAAAGTCTTCTTCTGTCCATACAGAAAAATGTAATGTCAAATAGGCTTTCACATAGGAAAAACAAATCCGTAGCCTGGGTATCATGGTAATGGCTACATGTCAGTAATACCATTAGGGCTGCTCAGGGGACTTTTCTATCCATTATAAAGATGGACAGATACAGACAGACAGAAACATTAAAATGTTCATCAAATTGCCAGTTTGAAGTCAACATGTTTGTGGTTCTACCAGCGTGTTTCTGTTGAGGACGACTGTTATGTCTTTCCCTCTCGCTTATTCATCCAAAGGAAACATAAGGAAGTACACACCTCTTCTACAGTGATGAGTTTAGCCATGTCGTCCAGTGAGGCAGCTTCTCTGATGATGTCAGCCTGTTCCAATTCATACTCATACTCCTCTTCCTCTTCCTCCTCCTCCTCACCCTGCTCCTGCTGCTTCAAATGAGCCTCTTGAGGAAGGCAGGCCTCCTGGTGCAGGCAGGTTTTAGCATTATCCTGCAGTGATAGTGGAATACAGTTACAACTTACATATAAATATATACTAATGGAGAGAGTAATCAACAATCAATTCTGACTGAAGCAATTAAAACATATGCAAGATAGTGACAGCTGTTACATTTGCTGGTCAAACCACCCAGCGAAGGGCAAGTTGTTCCAAATACAAAATAATCTGGAATTGAGGAAGTGATTTTATATATGTATATTTCCAGCAACTGCAACACTGGTTTGTTAAGCTAAAGAGAGGAAGTGAGTAGTTAGCATGAGCTGCAATATGACACTGATCCTGATGACACAATTTAAAGTCAGTTAAGTCGTTTTAGAAAAATAGAGTGTAGAATTACTGCCAAAACAGACAAATTAGGAACTCACAGATAACATAAATGACAGACTTGACTGTATTTACCTACAATTACTGTGTTGCGTTTTAAAAATATATTTGCCAAAAATATCTTAAAGCTAAAGTCAGAGTACAATAACTAGCCAACAAATTATGTTTGTTTTATGTATACCTGAGTCTCCTCATGTAGCTCCTCCCCAGCAGAGGCTTCCTGGTGCAGCTGTTGTTCCTCCACTTCTGCCCCGCTGACCAGAGTCTCCACTGGGAGAGCTTTCTGACAAAAAGGAGAGTCTCTAACCTTCTGCTTCTCCTCCTCTTCATCCTCTCCCTCATCTTCCATCTCCAAAGCATCGGCCGCTTCCTCCACGTCCCTCTCCTCTTCTTCCCTTTTTACCTCCTTTTCCTGTGCTAGACCTAAATCTCCTCCCTGCTGCTCTGCGGGCTTGGACTGATCCATTTCTCCGGCTGTGGAGGGGTGCAGTTCATTTCCCATGATTGAAGTGGCGTATCCTACCCCTCCTTCTGCCTCTCCTCCCTCTCCATCTCTGCCCTGCTTGTCAGTCAGCTGAGATTCATGGAAACTGTCCCTCCCCTCTAATTCCCTGTCTGGGTCTTCCCTGTCCTTCTCTGAGATCTCAGGGGAATTGAGCCCATCAACCAATTTAATGGAGGGTATGACTGGATGGCCGCTCTGCGAACAGGAGGAGTCTTCGCCTCTCTCTTTGTGCTCCATCCCTCTGTCAACCTGTCGGGCTGGATGACAAAGCAGGAGAGTGGGATATATCATAATAAATCATAACAAATCTACAAGCTCTACATGTGACAGTGATTTATTTACTATCGACAGGGAGACCTACTCTCAAATAGAAACCCAACATTCTCAATAGTCAAGACATAAAGCCTCTTAAAAGGTCCAATGTGTAGGATTCAGTGGCATCTAGCGGCATAGTTGCAGATTGCAACTCACTCCTTTCACTTCCCCCTTTCCAACCTTGGGGGGAGAAACTACGGTGACTATAAAACAAGCAAACAGCCCTTTCTAGAGCCAGTATTTGGTTTAACCCTTTAGCTGCTGTGGAAGCATGGCAGTTCAACATAGTGGACTTTAAGGAAGCCAACCTTCTGCATCTGTAGATAAAAACAGCTTATTCTGAGGTAACAAAAACATAACAATTCAGGCGATTATACACTAATGAAAACATACCTATGAATAATATATTCCATTTCTGCTTATAGATCCTCCTAAATGTTACACACTGGACCTTTAATACAGTTACACTCACTGTGTACAATGCTATGGGAGCTACTTGCATGGTTTTTCATTCCTTCATTCCCTGAATCTTGTTTATGAAGTGGCAGTATTAGAATTTCTTAAAAGATAAACTACCAACTCGGAAAAAAACACACCAATCTCTCATAAAAATAATCCCATAATATACAGAAGTGTGTAAAAGCAGAGTGCTGACAGGACATGTTTGTTTTGTCTTTTAGTAAGATTGTTGATTGCATTGACCCTTAAGCATCACCACCTGTGAACCATTAACAACAGGTACATTAAACAGGTTTTCTTAATCTTATACTGCTTTTAATGATTAACTCATTGTTGAGTGTTGCAGACATAGTCTTTTCCTTTTTAACTTATATGAAGGGTCTTTGAGTTTCTTAAAAAACGCTCTATAAATTAAATGTATTATTATTATTATTATTATTATTATTATTATTATTAACAAAATCATTGCAGTCTCTGTGTGTGTGTGTGTGTGTGTGTGTGTGTGTGTGTGTGTGAATAGCAACAGTGGAAGTAAAACTAATCATCACATGGTCGAAAAGGGATATGTCCTGTCTCTACCATCAACAGTAACACACACTGCATTTCACACCTTACACTGCTTCTACTCCCCACTGGTTCATCATTCCATAAACCATAAACGTTGCCTTGATGTCTGATCAATAAATAATTTCACTAAGAACTTATTCTCATGACTTAAAGAGCTTTTAGCAACATATTGTTGGGTTTGCATGCCTTAACCTAATAACTACAAATCACACATGAATTACATTATAACCAACCACTTTACAAAGCTTTTTATATCATGAGCATGAGACTTCATTGTTGATTGATCAGGAGATCCAGCTGAAAGGTCATTCTGGTTTCAGCTGAAACCTTAAGAAAAACCTAGTAAGAACCATAGTTTTGCAAAATGAAATCTTCCAGTTTGGTTGGCCCTAATGTAAAGTATAAGTGGTTTGTAGTTAATGGTCCCCAAAAAAAAAACAACACACTGACATGAATACACACACTCTGTCACTAACCGGAGGTACATGGTGGCTGTGCACCACCTTCTTCAAATGGAGGCCTCAGAACATCCATAGATGCACACTGTGTACACACACACACACACACACACACACACACACACACACACACACACACACACACACACACACACACACACACACACATAAATAAATAAATAAATAAATATATGTAAATAGACACTGATTAGCATATTTGCATACACTACACAGTTTAGTCTAGGGCTGCACAATTAATCTAAATATTATTGAAACCACAATATGGCCAAGTGCAATATCCCAATCGTAGAAGCTGCAGTTTGTTTGAAAAAAGTAAAATGTGTGACAAAACAGCTTTGTAATGAAGTACTGTGGTGCAGCAGAGATTGCCCGGCCTACAAATCTTGCTTCAGATGTTAAAAAAAACCAATAAATGTCACGCCATCGTGATTTTAATAAGTTTGTTTTTTTTCTGTAAAAATTAACTGTGATGCAAAAACGATAATTCCCACTAAATATGAATCATATCGCAATCGCAATATCTGTCAAGATAATTGTGATTTTTGTATCATATTGTGCAGCCCTAGTTTAATAGTGTGCAAGTTACACATGATTTATAATCTAACTCATGGATACATGCACACTACTTTTAACAGAAGTGTACAAAGATATTTTACATGTAACATGTTAAATAACAGGTCAACAACAATGAGTCAAAATGCACATTCATTATGCCTCTGTATATACATTCTCTGTCAAACATACACACAACAAAAAAGAATGTCTTACCACAGCATCTCTCGCTCTTGGTCTATGAACAGAAGAGAGAAAGAGAGACAGTGTGAGATGGTGAGATATTGAAGACCTGTTCTTGGTTTTGGTAAATGAAGACGTGAAAGATGCGTGACCCTTCTCTACTCTCCCGATCTAATATTAGCCTCAACACATTTCCCTGGCTATTACAACGTACGTGTGTGTGTGTGTGTGTGTGTGTGTGTGTGTGTGTGTGTGTATGAGTTAAGCGAAGTGAAACTCTAGCAGTGTGATGGCTCAAATGTCTGAAAGTGCAGCAGCAGCAAAGGACCATATGTTTAAACTATCTCTGCAGTGCTCACCACTCACAAAGATTGACACGTTCATAGTCATACAGACACCTGTCTGAGAGCAAACAGAATGTGCAGGTGTGTATGGTGGGAAAGGGTGTGTGTGTGTGTGTGTGGAAGGTATTGTGCCTTGAGGACTTCCTATTAAATATTGAAAAATGCCAAGATAGGCTTCACCTGACTAATTTGTTACACTTGCATGAGCACACACCACAACAGATACACATCACATGCTCTTCACCAAATAACACAACCACACACACACATACACACATACACAAACAAACCCAAACTCTAAATTACAGACACTGACAGTATATATAGAATTACAGCAAACAATAGATGATAATAATTAGTGCGTTTGCAATCAAATGATGGCTGTGAAATCAATTTTTTCTGGAATACTGCAACAACTTAAGAGAACTGAAGAGTAGAAACACAAAAACTTTGTTCATTCTATAATAAAAACAAATCAAAGTCTTATCTCCTTAATAAATACAAACCACCACACACACACACACACACACACACACACACACACACACACACACACACACACACACACACACACACACAGAGAGAGAGAGACTGCAACACACACGCAGACTGACCGACTGTGCGTCTGGCAGATGTGTTTAAGAGTGTCCAGATGCTGGGTTGCCAATTGGGGTGAAGTCCTTCTACACCGACTCTCTGATAGAGACGCAGAGACACAAAAAGATACAGACAGTTAAAAGCATGGTCATAACTATGAGAAGGCTTCTATGAGCTGAGCTCCCCTGTAACCAACACAAATGGTATCTGGGTCCATAATCCTAAATGTTTCCTGATGGAACTTCCCTTATAAGATCACTAAAAACTACATCAAATATATATTATGAGGAGACACAGAGACTGCAGTCATATTGTTGAGTAGTTGATAGCTGCGCATGAGGGCACATACAGTGTAGCTTTTATATAGTACAAGACTTATATCTATGTGTACTCTATATAAAAGAATATCTGCAAAAAGAAAGACTCTAAATGTTTATATTATATTACAAAAAATATTTTGTTATGTAGACAAATATGTACACCACGTTTGTATATGTGTGCATCTGCTGTGTGCATATGTTACCCCACTGTTCTTGTAGTGCATTCAGATTGTCCAATAATCTCTGGTGATAGAGTCTCTCTAGCTGGATACACCATAATGCCCGCTGGTCTGAACAACACAGGTTAAGAAACACATATACACTATACACAGACCCTATAGAGAACTGCATCAATGCTAAAACTCTCTTGGTTTTCTGCTCATTGACCATTACAGCTGACCGAGGTAAAGGGAGAAGAGAAAGTGACACAGAAAAAAAAAAATAGGAGGACAAAATGAGAGGTGAAAGGAGGAAAGAGTCAGGCCAAAAGAGATACAGGGAGAAAGCGCTCAAGGATGCAGTGTCTCATGTTTATGGATATGAGCAGCCAAAACACAATCCTTCTTTGACATGACTCAATTCTCTCTCTCTCTCTCTCTCTCTCTCTCTCTCTCTCTCTCTCTCTCTCTCTCTCTCTCTCTCTCTCTCTCTCTCTCTCAGTAACCCTCTGTACATGCTTCTTGACATAGCTAAGCTAGCTTTTTCTACTCTTTCATTTCTTCCCTCCCACTGCATCTCTTTCCTCTGATTAAACCACGGTCAAAAATTCAAATTCTTTTGCATGCTCGGTCTCCTTTCTTCTTCCCCGTCACCCCTTCCTCCTATTGAATTTAAGTGTTTGAGTGCATTTGGTTGTGTGGGAAACGCCATTTCCATTTAAAAAAATAAACAATAACTAAACATAACCAAGAACCTTTTGATATGTAAACAGCTAAAAAGCTCAGCATTGTATTTCACTAAAAGGGATCTTCATATCCATCAAGTGATTATCATTACTTACTGCTTAGTCATAAATTATCTGTAAATACTGTAATCTTTCCTCATCTGACAAGTGTGTTGTTTTGGCAACATGCTGTAGATTTCTTTCCTGTCAGCTTTGTGTATCTATCTTCCCTCTGTGTATGTGCCTTCATTCTCTCTGCCCATGGGCATTATGCATAAGTCACATCAGCTACTGCTTTTCCTCTCTCTGTTTCATCTTCTGTAATTACCTCTCTTCATGTTCTCCTTTTCAATTCTGTCTCTTTCTTGATTTCTTCTATCTCTGATCACTTCTTTTCCACTCTATCCTTACTCTTGCTCCCTTTTTGATCACACGGTGTGTAAAGTCAGTGAGGTAATAACTAATCCACTTTAACTTTACTGCGACAAGTCACCCCAAATTAATGAATAAAACACATGTATGGACAAACAGGCAAGCAGCGAGGTAAAGCACACAGGAGACAAGTGTATAATATGCATAGCATAAAACCAACCCCAATATGCAGACACACACATACTGACACAGTGATAAGGATACAGTCTTCGTGAAGAACAAAGGCCTCAGCAATCTGCAAAGAGAGAGAGAAAGAGAAAGAGAAAGAGAGAGAGAGAGAGAGAGAGAGAGAGAGATTACAACTTTGAATAAAGTGCATGCTTTTATCACATCAGTTATGTCACAGAAGCTATCAGGGAAACTGGCTCAATAGAGGATTGAAACCAGTCTGAAACTATTCATTATTTTGGTTCCTGAACATGAAGAAAACATGTACAAAATATGCCAATATAGAACATGGAAAAGCCACACTGACTATACAGAGCTGTAACCGCACTGCTAGTGCTGTAATGACTTCTATAATCATTAACTATGACAGAAAGAATATAATGAGATCTCAGACACATGATTAAATAGTTAAGCAGTTAACCAAGTCCCCTGTATTTAGGAGAGACAGAGTGAAAATGAGAGTGAGAGTGGAAAACAAGACAGAAAAACGAGAGACCATGGCAGACACTCTACCTCTCTTCAGCAAGTCTCACTTTCATGCTGCTCAGCTGATCGCAGAACAAGAGAAGTGTGTGTGAGGGAGAGAAAGGCAGAGGGGGAGAGAGAGAAAGAGAGGAGGAGGAGGAGGAGGAAAGGAGGGTACAAAAGGCTCTTGCATTATTAATGAAGTGAGGGGCGGTGACGACTGAGTGACCTCTATAGGTAACTGTACTGACATAGTTCAGATACATGGTTCAGATACAAAGTCGGAGAAAGTTTAAATTTGTTTTCTGATTTATTTATTTTTTTACTTTAGTTATTCATCAGTTACGCCACAAATAAAGCACCTACCCACCAAAATTACAGTCCAAGAGAACTTTTTGGTACATTATGTTTGTGGCTGTAAACACTTTAAAACCCTAAAATTCAAGACAAGACAGATCAAAAAAGAGTATTTAAAATGAATGTAATGCTAATCTTTTTGCCATTTCTCTGGACATGCTCTCAATGAAGTCTGTACAATTTGTCCATTCTTTGTCCCTCCATTTGGCTTCCTCTGTTGGTTTTCCAACAATTTATTTTTATGCTAATAGTGTTGGTTTCAAAACCTCTAGCTATCAGTGATCCCTGCCGCTCTCCCTCTTTCCAAAAACCAGATTATAGTTTATTTTAATAACTTAATTACCATATCGCTCTATTTTATCTTTGATCTTTGATAAGTTCCTAACACCGTAGATGTTAAGTTATTATACAATCATTTTCTTTCTTAATCTAAAAATAATGATGCTCACATTAATTCTATTGTTTCACCTGGCTGTTATAGTAGTATTGTCAGATACTAGAATATAATTAGCATGTCATATTAACCATTGTCAAGAAAGAGTGATTGTGGACATGCCTGTGAGTGCCCAGCAGGAACCTTGCAGTTCAAAAGGACCAAACAAACAGGGATTTAAATGTGCTTTTCAACAGCAAAAACATTATTTTGCTGCACTTAGGCCATCTGCATGACCTTTCATACTTTATAACCTAAATAACTTTATAACAGCAGCATGCACAATATACGTTCATCATGAAGGCTGATGGAACCTGGAAATAGGTATACGATGCAAAAGAAAGTCATAAAAGATTATTGACCTTTAATGTTTAGTTAGTTAGTAATGTTTTAATTAGACCTGCAAATAATTGCTTTTGATCCGTAAGATTACACCTGTTGCAAAGCTGTTGCCAGAAGAGTGCTCATTTTCTATGATCACCAAAAGTACAAAGTAACTTTTCGTTTAAAAGTTGTCTGGAGCTTTTAAATAGAGTTCTTACACACAAGAACAACACACACACACACACACACACACACACACACACACACACACACACACACACACACACACACACACACACACACACACACACACCTGTTTGCCTGGAAGTAAGCATAACTTAAGGGTGCCTGCTGAGGCATTTGTAAATCAAATTGACAGAAATATTTACACACCCGATAACATACATGTCCAGTCATGTAGGTGTAAGAGAGAAAAGAGCAGAGAAAGACTGAGAGTGAATGTTTTTTGTGAGGTGTGCCTCTGAATTATGTGCGTACTTGCGTGCATGTCTGTGTTTGTGTGTATGGACACTGAAGACACCCATGCCTCAGGGTACAAAGTGCCATTCAGATTATGGGGTTGAGTGGATAACAGTGATTTAATAACATAGTAATATGTTATCATAATATAGTGTGAGAGCAAGAGTATAAAGACACTACAATGACAGAAAGACATTGAGAAAAAACTTTAAGAAACCATTAAATGTATTAATGTAGAATAGAATTTAAAATCCTCCTCCTCACCTATAAAGCTCTTCATGGTCAGGCCCCTTCATATCTGAAAGAGCTCATAGTACCCTATTACCCCTCTAGAACACTACGTTCTCTGAATGCTGGGCTACTTGTGGTTCCTATAGTCTCTAAAAGTAGAACAGGAGCCCTTCAGCTACCAAGCTCCTCTCCTGTGGAACCAGCTTCCAGTTGTGGTTCGGGAGGCAGACACCCTCTCAACATTTAAGAGTAGGCTTAAGACATTCCTCTTTGATAAAGCTTATAGTTAGGGCTGGATCAGGTGAGTCCTGAACCATCCCTTAGTTATGCTGCTATAGGCCTAGACTATCGGGGGATTTCTCATGGTGCACTGAGCTCCTCTCTTCCTCTCTCTTTCTGCACTCATTCATGTCCCATTAATGCATGTTACTAACTTCACTTCTTCCCCGGAGTTCTTGTGCTTTTTCGTCTCGCAGGTTCTTATCGATCCTGGTGGAGCCTCCTGCCATGGTCCTGCTAGATTGCCATTGCCAATACTGTTGTTGCTGTGCACCTGTCTGTCTCTCTGTCTCTCTCTCTCTCCCCAACTGGTCGAGACAGACGACCACCCACCTAGAGCCAGAGGATCTGTCCTAGGTTTCTGCCTTTTAACAGGCAGTTTTTCCTTGCCCTTGTCGCCAAGTGCTTGCTCATGGTGGTACTGTTGGGTCTCTGTAAATGTTATAAAGAGTTCGGTCTAGACCTGCTCTATTTGAAAAGTGTCCTGAGATAACTTCTGTTATGAATTGGCGCTATACAAATAAAATTGAATTGAATTGAATTGAATTAAAGAGAAGAGTGATTCCCGATACACAGCTCTCAGTATCTGACATAAGCCAGAAACAAGACAAACAGGTTACCTGGTGCAGGTACTGTGGAAGGTAAGTGTCATCTCCTCTTTGCGCCAACTGCTTGAGAGACTCCAGCAGAGCAGGAGTGGAGGTAATGTGTTCCCAGTTTAAGGTCACAGGTCCTATAGTGGAATTGGATTCTGTACTGGTAGCTGTAGCAGTTACTGTCAATGTCTCCACAGTTGAGGTGGGTCCGGCATATGAACTGCCAACCCCTCTGGCACATGCAAGCCCATGGTTGAACAGGGGCTCTGTGGATGAGGAAAGATGTTCTGTAGTGAAGTTGGTATTTTTTGCTATTGTGTTTGTAGCTTGTATGATACATGTAGGCCCAGGTGGGTTGGTGTCTGAGGTCATAGTCAGCTTAGTTGAATCTGTAGGCCCTGTGGTGAAGGTCGGCCCCAGTGCAATTGACCCTGAGGCAACTGATTCAGTGTTGGAGTTATATAAGTCCACTTTGACATCACTCTGGCTCAGTTCCACTTGACTAGTGGGATATGCAGTTTCTGGACTGACCACTGGAATTACAGGGGATGTAGGCTCTGGACTGGTCCCAGGACTGAAAGGATATGGAGTCTCCAACAGACTGCCTACAGAGGGAAAGAAAGACAGCAGGAAACAGAAAAAGAGATGAGAGAAAGACAGAATAATTAGGGCAGAGTGAATGTGCTGAAACGAGATGACTCCTGAGAACACAGTTGTATAAAGGACTGTTAGATTTAAGCACTGTCCCAATACAATTTGAAAATCAGATTTGGGAAACAACATTTTTAAACAGTTGAAAAGAATCAACCACCTCGGCTTATTCTTGTCCATAGACAAACAGATGGATTGCTTTAGATTTTACATATAATTTATAAGCTAATACCCATCTTTTGGGGGAATAGAGCTCTAGAAAACACAGAGAGCATCTGAACAACAAAAACTTCACACATCAGTTGCACCTTGCGTCAGAGAGACAGCGTGTGCTTGTGTGCAATAAACTGCTAAGATATAAACTGGTTTTATTTAATAAAAACAGTTACAGATTACTGTGTCTGGCTAGCAAGAAAATACTGTGTGTGTGTGTGTGTGTGTGTGTGTCTACTCTAGGAGTTTACGATTCTCAGTCAGACATGTGATCAAAATGACATCATCAACCCCAGTCAGCCTGACCTCAATCCCAAATGCTGACCACTTAAAAACACACAAAAGGCATTAAAACAGTGAGTAATCCAGACCCTGACCAGAGTGTTGGCTTCAATACACACTCACTTCTTGAACTATCCCAGTTAAGCATTGAAAGCTAATACTCAATGACTCATAGCAAGAGTCTATATTAAAATACAGTCGCTAGACTAATATTGAGTCAATATTAGTGAACAAATGCCCCCCATAGTTAAAAACAGCTAATCTTGTACTGTCAGACATAACATTTCCACAATACAGTCATTGGATGGAGGATCAACATAAACTCAGAATAAGCTGGAAATTATACAGACTTTATTACACAGAAAAAAATATCTTTTAGAGTCCGTATTTAGTATATTGTTATACCAAATAATTTGATGTGTTGGCAGCTCATTGTTTCGGTTTTACCATCTGCAAAATATCTAAGTTCAGTCTCACTCACTCTCTATCAGCAGCCTTGTTTCCATCAGGTGGCTGTTTGAATTGATCGATAAACCCACTATATGTTACAAACGCCACACAGACAAAGGCAGTGGTTATCAGGTAGTTAGAGACACACCTCCAAATGAATATTAATATTATACTGTGTCTGTTGGGTGTGTGAAAGGTAATAACATGCTCAGTTGTGTATCTGTTAGCTTGCTGTTTTGTTCTACTGCCCCCAAATGGCAAAAAAAAGTATTAAGGCAAAAAGTAAGAAGCAAAGATTATACCATGTGTGAATATAATATAATTTAATAATAATTAATAGTAATATGCATGTTCCTTACCAGTTTCTGAATAGGAGGAATCAGTCATGGGAGTGTCTGGAGACTGGCAGCGAATTAGACAGCTTGAGCCCTCTGATCCTTCCTCCTCTTCTTCATCCTTCATCATCTCATCAGTGTCTTCTTCCTCATCCTCCTCTCTGCCTCCTGCCATGTAGCCCTCCTTTTCCTGTTCCTCCTCCGTGTCCTTCCCACTGTTGCTGAGAGAGGCTTTTTGGATGAGCCCACGCCCTCCTCTGTCTTCATTTTGTGAAGGAGAGAGACTTTGAGTCTGTGTGAGGGTGTTGGCTTCATTGAGATTTCGAGTTTGGGCAGTGAGAGCCTCAGGACTGGGTAGGTTATCACAAAGGTCAACCCTGCCCACCAGAGCTTGGGACATTTCTCTGGCCTCCCTCTCCAACTGACCTGGAGATAAAACAAAGGATCAGTTGAAATTACAATAATATTAATAAAGTAACAAACCCAAAAAACAATTGAATTCCTATACACCATGAATGTTGTTCAGCTCCCTTTGACTACATATTTAAAAAGGTCAGCTGCAACTTGAGACAAAACAACCAAAGCATAGGGGAAAAACGCCTTCCTCATTCTCAGCACCGTTTAGTTGATGTGAATCACATCCAATTAGTACTCATATTGTGGTTTTGAGGTAACTATACTTAAATATGTTGAGCTTATGTTTTGTGTTGTGAAATTTTAACACTTACCACCATGATCCATCTGGCACCGCCCTCACAATGTTTGACCTTTCAGCCTGAAGGTCAGTGCTGCCTACGAGACGAGCCCTTCTTCAAACCTGCACAGATAAGGAGAATGAGAGAAAAGAAAGACCGATATGAATGACAGAAAGTATGAACAACACAGATAAAGCCAGACTCCACTCAGAGACAACAGTAAGAGTGAGAAAGTTGCCTAAGATACGAAACAAGTTTAGCACCATTCCCGAGTTGACAAACAAAACCCTAGGGCTTAAAGAGATTTTGAAAAACCCTTTAGAATACCAACACCTTGTTCTGTGGTAGAATACTTACACATTATGGGGATTTCCACTAACACCAAAGATATACTCCTGACAAGGAATAATATAGAAAAACTACCAAACAAACAACTGAAAACTCTGTACAAGTACTAAACCTGTTAGAAACTAAAGACTAGCTAAAAACTCTGCAGTGGCTAAAAAGGATTAAATTAGTAAATATTGTTTTTAATGCTATCTAAAGCAAAATAATAATGTGCAACTTATCTGTAAATAAAAAATAGTCCACATATACATGTCTACAACAATAAAGCAATTTTTTTAGGAATTAGGTTGGACATTTTGATGAGTAGCTTTTACAAACCAACTAAAACAACAACTGAGACATGAAACATTAAGTACAGAGAGCAAGACTGAGAGAAAAAAGATTAGCTATGACACAAGTTGGCTATGGTGCGGAGAGTGGTGACAGTGACAATTACAATATGAACCCAGAGTAAAAAAGTGAAATAAGGGAGATATGTGTCAGAGAGATGCAATAAATGAATGAATATCGTCCACTCATATTTGCAAACATAATACTATAAACCACAATACAGTGTAATCCAAAACAGCAACATTACAAATGAAAGCCTCAAAAATGAGTATGAATTCAATCAATACTTCTCTGACAAAGAAAAGTACTGTACTGTAAAACTAATATGGCGCTGAACATGACTTTCCAGGCTGCAGCCAAACGTACTACCACCTTTCAACATATACACGGAACAAATATTTCATTGTTATCAAATGAAAAATTGTAAAAAGGTTAGACAAACAAAGTTGCATAAAAGAATGAATGACTGTATCCTACACCAACAGTCATTTTAACACACAACACTATACTTACACTAATTTCGGTCATATTTTGACTCTAAAACCTCCGCATACACACACGGCCAGGCTAATGAAAGCCTATCTCAGAGGAATAAGGCTGCCCTGGTTTCCTGCAGCACAAAACTAATTGTTCTTCCTGTAACCCTGTATTGCCCTGTGTAAGACCCGGCCCAAACATTTAGGAAAAAAATAAAAGTCAGGACAAACCTAGACACACACCTAGAGCAACTTTGGCTTCCTGTGTCCATATTCTTATTAAAACTCTTATGGAGAATTGTACATGAAACATGTTAAAGTGCTACAGCAAAATACCATGGGAGACGAGCATATGAACAAATCAGCTCTGAGAGATGGCGTCTCCAAAGGGAGGTGAGAACTTATGGGATGACATAACCATCTTGCCTTTAGGTTGCATAAGCTCTATATATTTTAACAAGACATAACCCCTTCTGGATGAACTGTATCCCAATGGATAGATGTTAACATGGCTTTGAGTTACAAATAGAACCAGGGATGGGACGAGAGACTGTTTAGGAGTGTAATTACTCCAGGGTCTAAATGTCTCTCTGGGAGATAAAACAGCCCGAGACCATGACAAACAACTGTGGCATTAAAGCTTATGCAACAACAACCTCCAGATTACACACACACAAACACAAACACACACACGCACACACAGGGATGTTATTGTACCTGTCATATGCCTTTCCTGTGCTCTGTGGATGGTTGTATTATTTGCATCTACACTATAGTATCTTTTAATATCCCTCTACCGCAGAGCCATCTGTCCATACAACAATCAATCCTCTCCTCTTTTCGTCTGTGCCCTACTCCACAGGGGATCATAAATAATGAAAGACAAAAAGACAGGAGAAGGGAATTTAGCCAAAAAAGGACAAACACAAAGGTTTCTTCTACCCTTGTGTTTGACACTGTCCTGTAAAAGGCCACCACAAAGACTGGACAGGGAGCAGAGGTACAGACAGGAACATACCAAAAGAACAACAAAACCAAGGGTTAAACATACAGACACTGTTTAACTTTACATACAGACGTAAAACAAATTCACTACACTCACTGAAAATCTTGCATTTAAGAAATGAGACGTAAAATATTTGCAGTAGCTGCACCCTAGTCTTTCAAATCGGTGGTTAGCAAGTCTCCAACGCTAACTACAGCTAGTTAAAATGTGTGGTGACTAACCTAAAGTTAGCCAACATTAACATTAGTTACAAGTTTGCTTTAACGCTATGTCAATAAAGATGTTAGCCAGCGATGGAGATGAGTTGACAAGTAAACACAGGCAGTGACAGCAGACAGCGGCTGTCATGTCTGCCCTATTAACATAGCGTTACTTACAATTAACCTACGTTAGCAATGTCTCATTAAGCTAGCATACGGTACCAGTGACATATTTAACAGATTAGCTTAGTCGCTATCGTTAGGGTTCAAGCACAGTGTTAATTCAACGTTACGCTTCTTGGCAGACTTGTATTGTTTCATAACATTAATAGAAGATGTCTGAGTGAAGCTGAACAGCTGACGTTAGCCATTATTGACTATCATATGTTCGCAATATCCAAAACTACGACGACAAATAAAACAGCGTTAACGCTAACGTGTGCTGCTGTTGCTAGCTACAGTGAGCTAACCGAGTATAAGGTTAGTAGACACATCTGGACACCACACCGCGGAGACAACCTTTACAAATACAACACCGTGCCTTCGCGTTAATGCACCAGCTCTCACGTCGTTGGACCTTTACAGCTTCTGCTACACGAAACACTCACACGGTACTCACGGCCCAGAAGGTTGACTGCACGGTACAATCTCGGGCATCAGACACTTTGCAGGGGATGTTGTTGTAAAGACTGTAGGTGTTTCCAGCACACAGTCAGGGGTCGTTGCTACCGCTGTCATCAGGCCTGTACTGTCTGCTGCTGGATGTGCTGTCGCCATCTCCTGTTTATACACTGTCAGTGCGTGGATGGGCATTTCTGAACAATACTGCAAACAATTTAGTGCACTGCCTTTTTGCTGAACTGGCCTATTTTCACTTTATGTTGTTCTATTGGAGAAGTTCAGATACTACACTCCTCCAAGCAACCTTTGAATCCCAAACCCACTCTTATGAAAGGCAGACGACCAGATTTACCAAATGGTCTTTACAGCGAAATTATTTATTTTATAAATAGTTATATATATATATAGTTATATGGCTGTGCAGCTGTATTATTGTTGACACTACAACAGATAACCCAAGCTTCCAAAAGCATATGACCAACCTAATAATAATCATTTTATTCACTCTATGTATACAGGAAATAAAAGTAATGGATTTTATTCTGGCCAAAACACCCATTCTCGTCAAACAAGCGCACTTAACACTGAAACAGAGCTCAAATCTATTTGTCCCCCACACTTCATATCAAAATTCAAATTTAATCATTCGTTCAAAAAAAAATTGGATTCCACAAAACATGACATTTAGAAAAGCTGACACAATGAATATATAAAAATACATAAATCATTACGCTATACAGTGAAAACCTTCCTTCCTTCTTTCTTGTTACCGTTCTTCCCCTAAAGATGTCAGTGTATTATGCAATACAAGATACATACAGGGTTGTGTTATGTGAAACTGCTGTTACAGTGTACTGGATAAACAAAACTGCAGTCGTATCAACCACTCAAGTAAATGCACATTTTTTAATTATACAGATATCTTTTTCATGACCTGGTGCATCAATGATGCTTTTTAAAGCATACAGGGACTTTTAATGATTTAACTAGTAAGACCTTTATCCTGCAACAATTTTTAATTATTGTCATTGCTGACTCATTGTTTTCTCTGTACAAGTAGTAAAGCTCAAGAGCCCAAAGAGAACCATTTCTGCTACAGAGGTTTGTCTTAAATTTGAACTCATGGGAATCCCAGTTCAGGACAACACAGGTACATTTAATGTTTTTCCTCTATTGTCCTACAGTACAGTCACAAACATGTTTGTGACTCTCTATACAAGTCTATTATGTCAATTTATTCTGCACAAATGTTTTATTTATTACCGTTTTTTATGATTCCATGTGTGTGTATGGATGTATGTATAATTTTATTACATCACACATTATATTATTCTTTCATTTTTAAAAAACTATACACATGACTTGTATGTCTATAACTTAGGCCCAACCCATCCTTTCTGTGTTCTCCAGAAACTCCTCATAAAGCCAGCTGTGCGAGAACGCCGAACTCGCGTCAATCAGCCTGAACAGCTTAAGATAATCCTCTGGATACACACAGCCTGTCAATATGTCTTCCGGCAAGCTCAACTGCGATAACAGCAAACTTCCACTTTCTGGAGACCAGAGACTAGAAAAACACAAAAGAAGGAGAATAAGCAAGAGAAAAATAAGGTCAGTAAGTAAGTCCGTTAGTCTTCCAACATGTGCAATGTGTTAGCTGCAGGCCTGTCTCAATAGCTGTGTGTGTGTGTGTGTGTGTGTGTGTATATGTGTATATGTGCATTGCTTACTTGAGCATGTCAATGAGCTTGGACTTCCTCTTTGCCAGACACTGTTTGATCATCAGCAGCAGAGTAAAAGCATTAAAAGGAGAGAAACCTGCAGTGAACAGATCAGCCCGTGGACGCAGGCGCACCAGGCACAGGGGGTTACCGGAAAACTGATGGGCGAACTAGGCAGAGGACAGATGGGAGATGTTATATTAAACAGACAATACCAATCAACAATTGCTGTTAGTGAATCTGCTCTCTTTCTTACCTTGGTCCTATGTTTAGACATATATCCTGAAGTCAGAAATGACTCAATGGGCTCCTACACAGAAAGAGAGGACTTAGTTGACAACTAGAAGTATCACCCTAAATTGGTTTTACCCACTTCATGTTGAAAATGTGCGGAAACATGGACGTTTTAAACAACTGTTTAGATGTCAACCTTAACTGGTTTGAATACATTTGCATAATCAACTAAATGTTCTTCGCCACCATTCGTCATACTGTACCTTGTGCAGTAGTTCGATATCGCAAGCAATCTGCCAGAAGACACAGAAGGGTATGTAGCCCCTCATGTCACCTGGACGAGATATCAGTTTCTGATGGGAAAAATAATCAGAATATACATTTATTTAAGTTACCAGAAACTAGTCTCCCGGGCATCAAGTAGTGACTGTGGTATCAGCATGGATATGGCAATTCTTTAGGGCAGATCACCAAAACTGCTGATTATACTGACAGGTGCAGCAGTAACTAAGTACAGATGTAAGTTGGTTTAAAGCACCCCTAAATTAAAACAGGATGCAAAACCATGAAAAGAAATCTACTCCATCCTCATGAAAAGAACCGCACACGCTGGGTTACACTCTGTGATCAATAGATTGATCACAGAGTGTAACCCAGTGTGTGGCTCGTTTATACTGATATATACGTTAAAAAGTCTTGTTCTTTTACCTGGTATTCCTTCTCTCTTAAGAAGAGGTTGAGCTCTATTCTGCCATATCTGTAGACAGACAGCTGCTGATACAAAGCGTAAACCAACTTCAGCAGTCTGCTACGATCATTATTCCTGGGCAGGATACCCACCACCTTCACTGGGATGTCTAGAAAGACACACACATACACATTTAGGAGGGATGGGACAATGCAGTGTTCATACAGTTAAGTGTGTTAAAGCAAAAGCTACATTTTTCAAAACAATTATTGATTCAAAAGACTCATTTACATGTTTAAAGCCTGTGTACAGTATATGTTCAAAGTTTAGATTGATGGCATTGCTAAGCACTAGGATATTAATTACTGTATTATGTGGGATTTATTTGCAGCCATGGAGGGTCAACTAGAGGAACAAAAACCCTTGTGTGTATGTGTGAAAAACAACATTTGCAGGTCTGAGGTTTGCTTTAGTTTGAGTGTGTGCACATGTTTATCCCCTCACCGTCAGTCCAGCTAGCTTCTGATATTCTCAGGTCAGTGAAAAGTTGTTCAGAGTACATGCTTGGGGGTTTAACTTCTCCATCGCCAATGGGGTCTAATTTAAAGAAGTCACAGTGATGCACTTCCAGTCGACCATTACTTTGACGTTCCAACTGCTACAAAAAGAAAACATCACTTATTTAACTGATACACAAGGGAATCACAGATAAATTGAAGAAATAACGTGATAGGTTAGAAGTAAGTATTGGCTAATCATATCGTATTGATACAAAAAGTAATGTAATGCATACAGATGTGTCACCTTTAAATTGTGAAAGTAGCCCATATTCTTTTCAAGACCTACAACTCTCTTAGCTCCAGCTTTGAGCAGTGTCCTAGTCAACACCCCAGAACCTATGAAACACAAGTACAAACACAGCCCATCAATTTATTGTTTCACGGACAAGAATCATATTTTCCACAAACAAATCATAAACACACATTTTTCACTATGGCCCACTGGTCAAAAAGTAATCATTTTGGCAATGTTTGTGCCAAATTCGATGAATGTCCACCTTTGTGTTTCACTCTGACTTAAACATTACACAAATACACACCTGGGTTACATTCGAAGATAACACTTTTGGAATCCTCAGGTCGAAGATGTTGTGTTATCACATCAGCCAGATGTTGTCTCACTATGGAGAGTCTAGGCAAGGCAACATCCTGAGACTGTGAGGTGTTAATCCAGGGCTGAAGATTAGACTGACCATGGAGAAAGACAAATGCATAAAGAGAATGAAAACTATCAACAACATATGTGAATAAGCCCACAGTTTATTTAGAACCTCAATCTTTGTCTCTATTAATTTTACAGTTTACTGCACAAACTCAACATACATTACATTAACATGAAATCTTATGAATTGAAACTTGTGAGCTACCACTAGGGTTGCAAAGGGGCGGACATCTTCCGGTAAATTTCTGGAAACTTTCCGGGAACTTTCCATGGAAAGATAAGCTGGGGAATTTTGGAAACATTACAATTTGGAAACTTTCATGGGAATTAATGGAAATTATGGGAATTAATGGGAATTTAGGAGAATTAACTGGAAAAGTTGGGTAAGTCATACAATATTGAAATGTATTTTCTTTGTATTTGTACTACATTGGCTGTTTTAATGTCGATTTCAAATGCTTTTACACACTTGTTGCATTAAATCAGGTTGTTTTAAGCAAGATTATCCTGCAAGATGTTTCTTTTCAACTACATGTAAGTTCCCTGTTATAGACTAACAGGATTATAACAAGCAATATTAAAAATATCCAGTTTATTCCCATTAATTCCCGTGTATTCCCGTTAACTCCTCTTAATTCCCATGGAAAGTTTCCAACTTTGAAAATTCCCAGAATTTTGCAACCCTAGCTACCACAGTTGTTCGGGGCAAAACATCTGGGTGTGGTGCAGGGTCACAGCAGATCTACGTGTTGTGCACCTTAAAAATCAAGGGAAAACAGCTGTACATGGTTTACAACTGATAGTAGAGCAGACTCAATGTCTCAACTAGCCTGTAAGGCCTTGGTAATCCCTAGGAGAAGCTGACGGATGGTGCTGTGGGAAAGTGTGTAATCGCTGCAACCCCCCACACATTATTTAAAAATTGGTGTATAGTTGGAAGATTGTGAACCATATGGGAAAACACTTGCCACTGTCACAAATCCTTATAAGAGGAGTTTTCCATTAATAACCCCATAAATAAGTGCAGAACAGAGTATAGAAACACAGACATCTGTAAATCCAGAGCAGACAGGTTATGTATTTCATTAGAATTTCATATATACCAGGCTGCAGTTGAAAACTCGTGTCTAGGACCAAGGAAAGCCATAAATAACTGCTTACCTGTACAGCCACATTAGACAAGTTCCTGTGTGTTGGTGCTGAAGGCTGGGGGAATGACCTCTCTCCACAAGGCTGCTGGGAGCTTGGACCATGTGTGGGCCGACCAGGACGCGAAGACAGAGAGTCTAGGCTGTAGGCCCTTCTATGAATCAAAGGAGCACCAGGAACACAGAGGCCAGAGGAAGCTACAGGGGCCAACACTGCCTTGCGCACACAGGTTCTACTTCTGACAACCTGGCAGCAAGCAGAGCGCATAATCAGCTCCACCACTCTACAGATCTGGGTGGACATGGTGGACGAATGGACCTGTAACTGCAGAGGAAGGGGGGGGGACATGTGATGTTAAGATGAACAACACTAACTTACATTTAAACATCATTTTTAAATGATAGTACATTGAACGGTTAACCTGCTCCATGAGTTCTTGCTCTAACAATTGTCCTCACAGCTAACTTGGCGTTAACTTTAAGTATCAAAAGGCAGAGTCGATAAAATGACAAATTAAAGTTAATGTCATCATACAAAACTCAATTTGACACGCGTGTACCAGTGCAAGTCAAATATGTTATCCTCGCACGTGGTGGGGGGGGGGTTAAACGGCACCGCATAATGTCTGATGAGTGATCCTGATCGGCCTCAGTGGAGAGGTCATCACTGCCCTCCTCCCTGTGCACTCACACACTTTGTCTGTCATCGTCCTGACAGAGAGGCAGGTCATTTATTAAAGGTAGAGGTACAGTAGAGCCACAAGCAATAACAACACCGCTGCAAGTGCTCAACTCCGACTCAGTTATAATATCTATCCAAGCAGACGATACTGAAAATATCCTCGTTGTAGCCGACTGGTCAGCAGTCTGTACAAAGGTGACGTTCCCGTACAACTAAAATGTATTTAATGTGGTTTGACTGGGAGAAACATTTACATACCATAGGATGAGCGGAATGTCCTATATATCCCAGTCTGAGTGCGGACTTGCTGTTGACATCATAAGGCTGCTAATAAAACCCTGACATTGAGCACGCTGCACCCCGACCTCACCACACTTGTTTGCGCAACTTTAGCGGCGCATATGATGTCGCATATGATGTCGTCATTAACATGCAACTACTGCGAGGACCAATCACAACACTCGAGGAAGTGGTGACGCTTACGCGAATGCTAAAAAATAATGAATATAAATAACTCATCAGTAGAAATATATACGGGTAAATTGTTTTAAAAACAACAACAACAACAACAACACAATTGTGCGTAATTGACTCAGCGAAACGCTTTAATTGTGTAGGTCTCTTGAAATGGCCGCTGTTTGTGACATCTGTTAGCATATTGGCTAAAGGCTGCTACGGAAGCAGACTAGGAAGACGCATTGTCAAAAGCACCGCACCCAGCCCGCTCTCATTTAGTCTGTCGGAGAGGTAAAGGTGGAACAGTGAGCTCCTCCAGTCTGTCTGCACTCACTATGGCGTGTGTTGAAACAACCTCTAGCAGGCCGTACCACCTGGTTGTCTTCGGAGCCTCTGGCTTCACCGGACAGTTCGTGGTGGAGGAGGTGGCCCGGACTGTTTCCGAGGGTCCGAAGGGGCACCTGAAGTGGGCAGTGGCTGGCAGGAGTAGGCAGAAGCTGGAAAAAGTTCTGGAGCAGGCCGCCGGAGTCCTCAGTATGTATCTGAATAATCCCGTTAGTTGTGAGTGTTGATGGCCCTGCAACAGGGATAGTAGGATAGAGTCTCAGTTAATCTTTTATCTGGGGTTATGTTAAATGCAAGTGTGATGAAGCTGGTGAGCTTTAATCTGATTTTCTAAGGGGAAATTGCTTAACTCCGACTCAAGATGAGTTATAATATCTATCCAAGTCGAGTTCGCTAATAGTGATATATTTAAATTTACATGCTCACGACCCTGAACGCTGTCTGAACTCCAAAGTACTGGTAAGGTTGCAACACAGTCAACCATTTAATCTGATGATCAGCTTTGTTTCAAAAGTAATAATTGTATTTGATTACTCCAAAAACAGAAATTAGGGCTGCAGTTAATGAATATCAATTCATCTTTCAATTATTTTTTGATCAATTGATCAACTTATCTATTTTATGACAGGAAAAGGCATTGAATGCCCATCACAATCTCAGAGTCCATGTTGAGACCTTCACGTGTCGTGTTGTCCAACCTACAGTCCAACGGTCAAAGATATTCAGTTTCCAAACACAAAAAACAGAGCATAAAGAAATTGTCCTTTTTTAAAAGCTGTATCCAGTAAACTGTTTGCCTTCTGCTTGATGAACAACATACATGATAATCAATCATTAAAATACTTAGCTATTCCTTTTCTGTTGATTGATCAATGAATGTACTACTCCTAACAGAAATAGAAAGATAATTCCCCTGAATGTGATTAATACGTGGAATATATAACAGACATTTACTGTGTATATTTAGTATGCTGGTAATTTTCCAGGTTGACGAAGTTTGTATCCGTGCAACACTCTAAACATGGAAAATTATGTCTATCACCAAATCAAGACCAGGGGGCTTTTGTGCTGTCATGATAGTAATGTGAGTTTCCAGAGGATTAGATAGTTATTCTGTTGTCCCCTCCTCTTCGGGAGTGTACAACAGCTGATGGAACATACCTACTCACAATTCAGTCCCCATCCATGACAGCACACACACACACACACACACACACACACACACACACACACACACACACACAGCTCGAAGTTAGCACCTCCAATCTTTCAGTGAACACTGAAAACGGCTTGTATAGTTTTAAAAAAATATATAGAGTACTAATTTTCTCACAGATACTCATATTTAATACACCTGGGAAGAATTTTAAATTATATGAACTATGAACACTGATGTCTGGGAACTGTATATCAAGCATTTGGATCAAAATATACTATCCTTACAACATGTTTGTGTGTGTATGCGCAGGTAAGCCTGAGCTGAGGTCAGAAGTGGACATCATCGTGGCAGATGTAGGGGAACCGGACTCCCTGGCTGCCATGTGCAAACAGGCTGTGATTGTTCTCAACTGTGTGGGGCCTGTAAGTAGATGATTACACAGTCATGTGTTTACCTCTGTTTATTTTTCTTTAACACACAGAACTTGTCCGTCACATGGAACAAACTAGTTTTTCTCACATTGTCTCACAACGCTGGCATTTTGGCATCTCCCTTTGGCATCATTACAGCTCAACTTCTGCCTATCTATCTCTTCTCTCTCTCTCTCTCTCTCTCTCTCTCTCTCTCTCTCTCTCTCTCTCTCTCTCTCTCTCTCTCTCTCTCTCTCTCTCTCTCATACACGCACAGTACAGCCTTCATTTACACAATGACAGCTACTGACTTACACCACACAATAAATCGTATTGTGTTAAAGTCAGAATGGAAAGTAGGTTTTCATCAGTAGTGTAACCACTGCTGTTGCACACAGGAGCACTTTGCCAGCTCGGTTAAAAGTGAGGCCAAAAGGAGATGGACCTGAAAGAGCATAAATGTAAAAATGTATTAGCCCAATGTGGCATTTTACTTACAAAAAACCTCACATGAATCATATGATGTGCATGTAATATTGAAGATGTATATATAAAACATTTGACAGCACAATGAAGAAGTATTTACATATACAGGATTTGCCTAGAAAGCTGGCTTGTGCAGCTGCTGCATGAAACATCAAACAGTCTTTCTGTGTGGAAAGCCGGTGAGAGGTCATGTCTTGTTGCTGCACTAGCAACATCGGGGTGCCTGTGCAGACAGAGATGGGATCTGAGCGGATAAAGGGGGGCATTGAGTGAAAATGAGTGTCAGGGATTTAACAGTGATGAGTATTCTAGTTGATGGGGAATTGGCCAATTTCAACCAAATTAGGAAAGGAAGAAAAATAGAAATGGTCCATGAATTAATTTGTGTATGTGCATGTATCTTTGGGTGTATAGTACAGGTTCTATGGTGAGCCAGTGGTCAAAGCCTGTGTGGAGAATGGAGCCCACCATATGGACATCAGTGGAGAGCCTCAGGTATGTGTGGCTTTAGTACTGTATTTCTGTACTACAGTGTGTGCATATAGTAAGTCACTCCATCAACATTAATCATTGCATATACTGAAAGAGCATTAAAGGGCAATAGTTTTTCTCTTAATATTTCTGATTCTAATCAAATTGCTATTTAATAATTTAAATCTTCTCTCTCTACCTGAGTGCTGTCAGTGGACATGGCGTGATTGTTGTCCTGCAGATGTCCTAACATTCAGCTTTGCTGTTGTTTGTGTTTTGGATTAATTGGAGACGTGCTCAGTTTCATGCTGTAGCCTGTTGGACAAAATTATCTCTCACTTGGCTGCTTGACCGCAGTTTTCTCTCTGTCGTGTGTGTGTGTGTGTGTGTGTGTGTGTGTGTGTGTGTGTGTGTGTGTGTGTGTGTGTGTGTGTGTGTGTGTGTGTGTGTGTGTGTGTGTGTGTGTGTGTGTGTGTGTGTGTGTGTGTGTGTGTGCCCTGCCAACTTCACCATATCAGGACAGAACTTGGCTTTTCTGCCTTTCGTTGTTTCATAAAGTCCAAAAAATCTGTTTTCATAATATTCTGTAATAGATCATTCATTAACAGGCACACCAAAAGTCATTTATGTGTGTGTGTGTGTGTGTGTGTCTTTCTGGCTCTGTGCAGTTCCTGGAGGGCACGCAGTTGAACTACAGTAGCCAGGCAGCTGACAAAGGCGTGTACATCATCGGGAGCTGTGGATTCGACTCCATACCTGCGGACATGGGAGTCCTCTACACCAGGGACCAGTTCAAGGGTATGCACATACCGACACTGATGTGCAGTGCTCCATTCACTCTCTTTCTTCTCTCTTTCTGTTGCTGTTAATGATTTATTTACTGTCATATTAGCCTCTGCTAAAACATGGTGTGTGTGTTCATCCACAGGTACACTGACTGCATTGGAGAGCTTCCTGACTGTCAGTGCAGGATCTGAAGTACGTAACCACATGCAGTTTGTTGCCCTTTTCTCCTTGACTTTCTCATTTCTTGTATTTATGTGATATCACTTATTTTGCCCCTTATTTCAAATGTGTTATTGTTCCTTTCTCCTTGTTTATGTTCTCCACCTTCATTCAATGCATGGTCTCTGTGGCTTTTCCTCTATATTCTCTCTCTTTGTGTGTGGGTGTGTGTGTGTGTGTGTGTGTGTGTGTGTGTATCTGTATGTCTTCTTCTATCAGGGTGGATGTATCCATGATGGCACGTGGCAGTCAGCCGTGTATGGTTTTGCCGACAGCCAGAAGCTTCAGAGTCTCAGGAGGAAGTTTAATCACAAACCTCTCCCTACTGTTGGTGCTAAGCTTAAACGCAGGTATGTAGAGTAGCAATGAAAAATAAATCAGATTTATTTTGAGTCCAAGATGCACACTGAGCAATAAAGAAATACAATACTAAATAACCTCAAACATATTTATGGTCTTTTTTTTTGCTACAATTTCTTTTTACTTATCAGCCAACATATCGACTGACGCACTATATATGTGATGAGATAATATTGGTTACTACTTTTGTTTGTTTTTTTTAAAGCTAGCTGATCCTTTTGTCTCAGGGATAAGCATGCAGTACAGTTTGCCCCAAACATTTTCATGTCATTAAAAATCTTGTGTTTTCTCAGCATGCATTTCTTTGCATTTGTAGGGGAGCATTGTTCTTCAGTAATGAGATCCAGCAGTATACAGTTCCCTTCATGGGCTCTGATCCCTCTGTTGTGAGGAGAAGTCAGCGCTTCCTGGCGGAGGAATATCAGGCCACACCGGTTAGTCTTCACATCCTGTGTATTCTTTACTCACACTTTTTTTGCGTTGACTTTCACTCGTAAAATCAAATCTTTTTTTAGTTTTAGTGTCACAGATGTGATCAATTATGATTGTAGGTTTTGGGGCAATGCTGGTTTTGGGCTATTATAAGAGTTTTCCAGCCATCATGCAGGGTTATATGGAAAAGTGGGGATTAGTGAAAAAAATATGTAAAATGACTGCATGCTGCTATCTTGTTCCAAGTTTGTATTGGACATGACTGACAACATTTTAATCCCAGACCCTAT